TGTTTCACTTATTCATGGATATTATCTAACATGTAATGATTTTTGTGATGTATTTAAAATTACAGGGCTGTGTGTTGACTCAGTTAGTAAAGTGCTCGCCATATAAGCATGAGAACCTGAGTTAGAGTGCCCCAAACACACATAAAATCCAGGCTTGGAAGCATGTATCTGCAACCCCAGAATTGGGGGGATGGAGATAGGTAGATCCCAGGGGCCTTCTTGTCAGACAGCCTAACTAATTGATGAGCTCAGGTTCTGTGAGAAACATTGCCTCAGATATAAGGTGAAGAGTAACAGATGGACTCCTGACCTGTACACACAAGTATAAACACCCACATGATCGTATATACATACATACACCATACATATATACAAACACATTTTCAAAAATAAAATTGTGCATAGGAACATTTAAATTTAGGGAAAGTCAATATCTGGGGTTCTATTCATTTTGGACTCTGTGTTTAGCTTGGGAGTTTTTCTTGGCATGATGAGTTGACAGGAAAATTATCATTTGCTTTGAGCAGCTGGGTTGGTGTACTTAAGTTAGTATGGAAAGGTTCCTGGGGAAACTGATGTGCTTCAAATGTCAGAAATATAAACTTATTTTCTATTTCTTGATTCTTGTAGAAGAATATGCATGTTAATCATGATGATCAGTAAAATGTTATGAAGATAAAATATTTAGTAAACATCATCTGGTAATTTATGAAGTAGTGATACCACCTTAGGCACTGAATATAATTAGATACGTTGGTTGTTCTTTGAATTCTCTTAATTCCTTTTACAGATAACTTACTGATTGACTATGTTTTGTGTTGTTTAGCTTAGAGAATATAGGATGAATAAGACAGAAGCAGTCTTTGCCATCAGTGACTTTGTGGGCCTTTAAGGAGGTTAGACATCTACATGCCTAACATAAATTCTATGATAAAGATTTTAAGTCTGATTGGGAAGAATAGAGAAGACATTTGGAAGCAATATCTTCTCAGAAGATGTCAATGGCCAGATTGTGTTGATTGAACCCTTTCTAATAACAAGAAGCAGAGATGCACTCTTTCTGAGGTCACCTCAGTGAGGTTTGCTGAAGCCCCCACAGGAAGCAGGAAGGGAAGGCAGGGCAGTCATCCATACAGGCAGCCCTCAGGGAGAATCAGACACTTCTTGGCAACATGAGAGCACCAGTCAGTGTCCCTTCTCTTCTCCAGTGGTCTGTACTTGAACCACCTATTTCTCCGATGTCTTTACCTCCTTTGCAAAGGCAGAATATGCCTGTGTCCATTTCACTCTTCAGGAGTGAAAAACCTATTTTACTGATCTTCACTCAACAACCAGTGGTGCCAGGTGCTTCTTAGGCACCTTTGCAAATTGTGTCAATGAGTAGCTACATGTGTTTTGAGGAATCTGTGGTCTAACAATCTGTGGCTAAGGAGATGAGGTTGCATGGAAGAGAATAGCCCTTTCCAAACTTTCAGCATGGATGTGAATTGCCAGAAGATGATCTTGTAAAAATGTAAACTCTTGATTCCTCAGGTGTAGGGATTCAGAGCCCTGTGTTTCTCACAAGTTCCCAAATGGTGATGATCTTGTTTGTCCTCCAACCTCACTTTGAGTAGTGTATTAATTACTTTTATCATTGCTACGACAAAATACCTGCCAAGAAGCCACTTAAAGGAGGAAGGATTTGTTTGGCTTTATAGTTCAAGGAGCTGAAGTCCATCATAGTGGGGAAAGCATGGTAGAGGGAGCAGGAGCATCAGCAATCAGGAGCCAAAAGGTAGACAGAAAGTGGGGCCAAGCTATAAGACCTCAAGAACTGTCCCAGTGATCCACCTACTCCAGTAAGGCTCTGCCTCCTTAAGGATCTACAACTTTCCCCAGCAGCTCCACCAGCTGGCTACTAAGTATCCAAACACATGAGCCTCTGGGGGACATTTCACATTCAAGCCACTGTAAGTAGCAAGGAGGAAGCATGGTATTTCTGTGTGAAAATAATTTTATTGAGAAGACAGGCTCACCATGTGGTAGGTCTGTGGCTGTGAACTGGCATTTCATGAGGGAGTAACTGAGAACAAAGGAGTGCAGGAGGGTGCAGTGTTGCTGTCTGAGGTTATATGAGGCCAATTCTTAATATGGTTGAGATCAGAATGAATAAGGTATGTGGCATCCTCAGGCCAAAACGTCAGCATTGAAAACAGTCAGGTGTAATCTCTGAATACCAAAGTTTCTAGATGTTATCCAATCCTTAATATAATTTTAATCCAAAGCAGGGTGAGTGGTTGAGTATGAATTTTAATTATTCATATTTTTTTCAGCTCTTGCTTTATAATGTGTCAGTTTGTCTCTAAAAGTCTATGAGGATAAGAATTAGCAGTAGGGGGTGCTAGAGAGATGAATCAGCAATTAAAAGCACTGCTCTTGTGGAGGATCCGGGTTTGGTTTCCAGCACCCACATGGAGGCTAACAACCATCCGTAACTCCAGTTACAGGGGATCCAACATCCTCTTCTGACCTCTGTTGGCGTTGTAAGACATGGGTACATTTACATACATATAGGCAAAACACTCATACTTATAAAATTAAAATAATAAATATTTTTTTAAAAAGAATTAGGGGTACGGCTTATATTTTTATGAGAAATTGGGAGCCAAATTCCCTGGTCTAGACAACACGTGTCAAACTCCTTCATTCTAATTCCATAGGATAATCACACATTTCTAATTATCTTATTTGAAAATTCATAGTCGTGGTCACAAGAATCCTTGAACCGTTATCATATCCCATATTCATAAGTGAGTCCCAGCTTCAAAGCACCATTATATCCTTTCTTCTATTCATTAGTAATTCTAAATCTTATTTAAAACCCTGTTGGGCCTTTTGGAGATACCTCAATTGGTAAAGTAATAAAACATCAAGCATGAGACTCATGAGTTCATCCACAGATCACACATTAAGAAGAGCCAGGCATAGATTCATGTTTGTAATCATAGTCCTGGGGGAGTTAAAGACTGTTGGATCCTGGAACTGGTTGGCCAGACAGCCTAGCCTAATAAGTGAGTGTCAGGCCAAGTAAGATAGTGCATCAGAAACAAAATAAAAACCCAAAGTAGATGGCGCTTGAGGAACAACATTTGAGGTTGAATGCTTGCAGGTGCACAGACGTGCACACACATGCACAGTTGCACATTCGTAATCCCAGCACTGGGAGGTGAAGGTAGAAGGCTCAGGAATTCAAGATCAGTCATCCTTGGCTACATAGCAAGTTTGAGGCTGGTCTGATTACATGAAACCCTCTTTTCAAAAACAAGATTCATTTTCATTTTAGTATTCAGAAAAGGAAAAAGCTGTTATTTTAAAGAACTGAGTAGTAACATTCTTTCTTTTCAAACCAAGAGGTCTTCCAATGTCTGTGAGTGCATTGGGAATCCTTCAGACTGGTGACTTACTGAATAGTTCAGCACAGTGACCTTCTTTGTGTGGTGTGCTCTAAATTGTCACTCATCAAAGAAGGAGTGCTACTGAGGATGATCAGGTGCTTTGACTGAGTGAAGAGTATGTGTGGCCTGGTAGCCAGATAAACTTAGGTTTGAGGAACTTCTAACACCTACATCTTGTTACCTTGGGCAGAGTATTTGCTTTCTGGGCCTTGTTTCTTCATCTGTAAATGTTCACTTATGAGGGACATACATACTTGGTAACATTATTTTGAGAATAAGAAAAATAAGGCATGATAGTACCATTTAACAGAATTTTGAAAATAAATATTTTTATTATGAAAAATTGTATTTTTATATAAAGTTAAAAGCAGAAATATTTACTACTGCATATTTGCATAGGAGGAACATTGTTTATTCTTGCTTTTGTTTTTTCAAAAGATTTATTTTCACTTTATTTGTATGAGTGTTTGGCCTATATGTATGTATATGTAACATGTGCCTATAGCATTCATGGAGACTGGAAGCAGGTGACTGGAACTGTGGTTACAGGCACGTTTGAGATGTCACACAGGTGTTGGGAACTAAACCCAGGTCCTCTGGAAGAGCAGCAAATGCTCCTAACCACTGAACCCCTCTCTCTAGCCCTTGCTTTTCTTTTTTGAGACAAGGTCTTTCTCTATGTAGCCCAAACTGGCCTCCAACTCACAATCTTCCTGCCTCAGCCTCCCAAGTGCTGGGATTATAGGAATGTTACAGTATGCCCAGATTTTTTTATTCTTGGCATAAGTGAAAACTGTAGTGCTTTGATAAGCAAAAGAACTGTGATTATAACTACTTTCAGTTAATATATGTATGTTAATACATGAACCTCTATTGTCAAAACAGTCAGTATCCAAAACAGTAGGTGGTGGTATTATGTCAAGCGCTGCTGCAGCAGTGTGTCACAGCCAGTGCGCTTCTCAGCTGATGAAGGATCTGCGGGGCTTTGGTGTCCCTAAGTGGAGCAAACCTGTGTTAAGAAAAGCAATGGTGCCAGGTGTGGTGGCGCATGCCTTTAATCTCGGCGCTCTAGAGGCAGAGGCAGGGGGATCTTTGTGAGACACAGGCCAGCCTGGTCTACTCAGTGAGTTCTAGGCCAGTTGGGGCTACAGGGAGACCCTGTCTAAAAAAGAGGAAAAGCAAAGCAATGGAAATGACTGGAAAGTTGATTCAAGGGAAAGGTGAATTAATGGACAGGTGAAGCATGTGGATTTAGTGCAGTACAGGCCTTCAAGATTTACTCTGTGCTTCAATATAAGAGTTTCCATAAAACTAAGTTGATTTTCAAAATGTCTCAACAGTTTAATTCTTAAGTAGTCTCTAAACAATTAAATCATCTTTGCCAAACTGATTCCTTCCTCTTTCAGTAACAGTATTCATATCAAACAGAGATTGCTCTTGTTCTAGAGGGGAGACATTTCTAATGGAAACCTTTCAGCTAATTTCCCAGAACCTTACCATTCTTACCCCTTTAGATGCTTTCAGTGTATCTCCTAAGCAGTCAATATTATTTTTCTTGCACAGATCCAGTGCCCTACTTGCCAGTTCGTCTGGTGTTTTAAGTGCCACTCTCCTTGGCATGAAGGTGTTAACTGCAAGGAGTATAAAAAAGGAGACAAATTATTACGTCACTGGGCCAGCGAAATCGAGCATGGGCAGAGGAATGCCCAGAAGTGTCCGAAGTGCAAGGTGAGATAATCTTAGTGGGAAAGGGATAGAAGTTAAATCTGGGTGTAACAGAACAGTTCTCAAAATATGGGAGTGAATCATATTCATAATTACCAGGGCAGCTGTGAAGAAGTGTCTGCATTTTATAACAACAATACATTGCATGTCAAACTGAACATACATTTTTATAATCTGTCATTAGCATTATATTTCAGAATTTAAGGAAGCCATTGACAAATGCTGATTCAAAATATCGAAGTCCTTATCCTTCATTTAAACATTAAGATTACATGCATAAGTAAAAGCTACTATGAAAATATTACAAGTGTATTCTTTCTGCTTGCACACATAACTGCAGCCACTGTTCACTGGTGCAGACTGGTTTCCTGTCTTCAGATTACTTTCTGTCGACTGTTTCTGCTTTTGGTAAATCTGTCAAGGACAAAGCTAGTACTAATATTTGATTTTATGATTCCCATTTTTCCATTTTTCTCTCGACAGTCAAAAATATTAACAATCAGCTCTGTAGTAGTCAAGGAAGATTGTCCCTAGAGAGACCAAGTAACGCCAATTAAAAAAAAAGTTGGACTTGATGCTTACATGATATGGCTCTGTCGAAGTCTGAAGTGTTTATTTTAAAGGCTTGCTTTAGGAAATTATGTATGTGTGCAATAAATGCATATAAACTCTATGGCTTCCATCTTTGAACAAATTTACTTTTGCCAGTCATGTCTAAGTTGGGTCTAATTGTCTTTAAGAACAATTCTGCAATTGCTTCTGCAAGATCCAGCATTAGATAAATGAAATTTGAATTAAGAAAATTTAAAATTTCAATAATTGTGAATCTAAATTGTAGGAAAAGTATCTTATCAATTAACTTATTAATGAACATGTACAGATTTGCTATACCAAATCCACATTCTATTTTACATATATAGAAAGTAAGAAGTGTAGCATGAAACAATGTTACATTCTTAGTGGCAGGAAAAAATTGGGGGGAGAAGGTCTTTCTGGTTGCTCAGGCCTAGATCTGCTGGGATGACGTGATCCTCCTGCCTTCGCCGCCCCAATATCAGAAACTGTTGCTGGTTATCTGTGGGTGCTGCCTTTTGCCCAGGGACCACCCGTTCAGGGTAGGAGGAAAGTAGGCACAGAATCAACGACACAGACTCCAGGAGACTCACTGTGCAGTAAGCAAGCAAGTTTGTTTATTGCGTACAAAGGGCTTTCCTTTATACCCCTTATTCCTCCCCCATTGGTCTGCAAGCCAAGTTGTCTGAAGATCACTGGTGCGGCCACCGTGTCACCAGTCTCTGGCCTGGGTGGCAGATACCAGGTTAGCAGTTTGAGGAAGTAAACTGCGCAAAAGCCTCCAGGTCCGGGGCCTGGACGATACTCTCGAGCCTTCTCCTACATTTCCACCCCTTTGTTTTTAATAAAAGGCAGTCCAGCAGGAGTCAGGGTGCTACCTGACATCTTTACCTCTGCCTCGAGATGGCCTCAGTATTATGGGCTGTGTCTGTCTTAGGTTGTTCTTAACTCTGGGCATAAGCCTTACCTGTCATGGGAGCATGTCTCTAGCCCATGCATGTCCTGTCTTAGGTTGGCTTATCCTGGCAGAATCTTACCTGTCATTGATCATCTGCCCTCAAAGAGGTATTGTCTCAGGGGATATGCCAGGGTAGAGGGCTAGTCTAGGAGGAAGCCTCCTGTATCTGAGTGAGCCAGGCTTGAAACACCTCCTGTGGAGGGCCATGGTTTGGGCGCTGTAAAGCCATGAGGACCTGAAGGGTTGTTTTATTGATGGTGCGCTGACGGCGAATGTATGTCAGGAGGTACCCGAGGATGAATAAGACAAGGAGTACGACACCTCCTACTATTAGATAGGTTAGTAAACATGAAGAATCAAAGAATCTTTTAAGATTTTCCCAGATTTTTGTGATTAGACCTGTTTGTAATGGGAGGACCAAAGTTCTAGTTGAGTTTAATTGTATAATTTGTTCTGTTAAAGTGGATGAGTAATTAAGAGAGGCCCGAGACCAAGGGCCCTGGAGATAGTTGGCCAGTTGGATTCTGGTCTCTGTGCTATTATGTACCTGGTATGGGGTTAGGCACAGTGTATTGAACCTAGGATTGCAGGCCAATAAGGTCATTTCTTGTACCATGGCTAGGTCCTCCGTGACTAAGTCTATCTATTGTTGGAGGATGGATACGGCTTGGTACAGGTGCTGGTTGATTGAGTGTGAAGTACCGTGGAGGAGCGTTCCACCACTTGATTGAGTGTCTCCACTGTGGTAGTGCTCTGAGCAAGGGCCACAGCGGCAATAGTGGTGCCGGCTAGGGATGCAACAATGGCGGCGACAATCGCAGCAGTAATGCCAAAATCACATCTCTTGTGAGAAAGAGTACCAAGCTCCATTCGCTCCATAAGCATAATAGCATGAAAATGGGTCGCGTTGCTAACGGGCACCCAAACAGCAGCTGGTTTACGCAGAAGTAGAATGACATGAGCTGGGTAATGCCAGCAAGCAGCCAGAACACAGGTGGTATTGGGGGCAGTGCAATTAAGAGAATCCCCTGGATCGACAGAGACATTGGCCAGTAGCATGATATATGGGGGCCTAACACAAACAGGGGCGGGAGACAAAGTGCGAGAGTGCCTGTGAGTGATAGTGGGCTTGGGTTGGCAGGTTGTATTACTAGAATATGAGCCATTAAAATAGGAGGCCCCCCCTGGCAAAGAGCAAAGGGCGAAAGTCCAGGTAGGCGTGGGGGCCACAAAGGTCCCAGTTGCTGAGCAGGGGGTCATGTGCTGAAGGGCTGACTTTGCTCCCTCCCACATGGGTGGTAATAGGCGAATGGTCTTCAGGAGCCCAGCGCTCGCCCAGATGGTGCACCCTTGAAGTCACAAATGGGCGGAGAGGCCATGGGGGGCTGTGGATGACAGTGTTGCCATTGAAGAGGAAGGTGCACACGAGTGGATATGGAGCACATACACAGACAACGGGATAATGGAAGGTGATAGATTTTTGGCAGAGGGACTGGGCAGGTGTTGGTGGAGGACTTGTCCCACCTGTAGCTCTGAGAGCTGTGAGGACAGCGGCCTCGTTGGTATTCATAATGGGGGAGAGTACTTGAAGGCCAGCCATCGTGCCTGAGGTCTGGTTGCTGACATAATCATGGACAGTTAGGTTAAACAAGCTAAAACATGAGGAGACATTGACTGGCTTTTGTATGAAATCTCTCAGATTGAGGCAGAGTGACCCATTTAAGAGCCAGGTGCCATTGACAAGGGCCTGGGTGTAGATGGGGTCCATCATGGGAAGGTCAAGTGTATTATTCGTGGTGTAAAGGACAGGAAAGGCTGGAGACTGCATAGCCACAGGCATGACTATATATGGCATAGTATTACATACCACCATGGTGACCATCAGGGCTGCAAGTCCTTGGGTTCCTGTTGATCCATTGCGGGGCGCATATCCCTCACTGGCACCCATATTGGTTTAGTCTCACCCTGTGGGAAGATAGAAGCATAACTTTGCCGACATGTCAACAGGGGGGCAGGTGGTTGCCATTGACAAGTGATGGGGTCCTTCCATTTTACAAGTGGTAGGGGGGTGGGCCAAGGCATAGCAGCCCAATGTTTGTACGCAGGGCTCAAGCCCTTGTCATCAAAGGACAGGAAATTGATATGGAACAGAGTTTCTATTAGGGCTAGGTGAGGATCTCACTTTGATTCTGGGGTAGCAACTTTTTGAAGTGTCTCTTTGAGAGTCCTTTTTGATCTTAGGCTGTCCCTGAGGCTTGTAAGGGATCCCAAAGATATGCCTGATTTTCCAAGTGGCAAGAAAGGATTGGAGTTGTTGGGAGGCGTAGGCAGGTCCGTTGTCAGTCTTTAGGGCCCAAGGGACACCCATGACCATCATGGCTGCTTTGACGGCCTTGATGGCATGCATAGCTCTTTTACCTGTCTGTGCAACAGCAAAAACAAAGGAGGAGCAAGGGGTCCACTAGGACGTGGATGTACTTAAGGTTGCCAAAAGAGGGAAAATGAGTAACATCCATTTGCCAAAGGGCGCTGGGTAGGAGACCACGTGGTTTACTCCATGACAATTGAGGGGTCCCAAAGGGGCAAGGCGTACACAAGAGGTGCAGGTCCTACTCAGGTGTTTGCGTTGGGAAATGGCAGCTCGGGGAGGAGACCATGCATATTTTGAGGGGAAAGGTGAAACTTGATGTAGTAACCGAGCCTGTTCCAGAAGGGGGAGCTCTACCAACATTATCAGTGTATCGACCTTGTCATTTTCTTTGGCCAAAATACCAGGGAGATTGGAATGAGATCTGATATGGGAGATATACCAGGGGTGTTGTCTATTTTCCAAGAGGTCTTGAACAGATTTCATGGTTAGATATATGGGGTCATGTTCCTTGAGTCGTGTAAAGGATAGGCATTTAACTGCCTGAACTGCATACTGACTGTCAGAGAAGATATTTGCAGGTTCCTCCTGGCATAAATCAAGGACTTTTAACAGAGCTAGGAGCTCTCCCAGCTGAACAGATCCAGGATCTGTGGAGGGAAGGGGGTTTTTACACAGATGAGCATAAGGTAACACTGAAATCTCCAAGGAGGACAAGGCTGCAAGACACCTATCTTGGGGAAGGTGATTGTCTAGTTCCCCTGTAAAACCAGCCATCATCTGTTGAAAGGCTAGAGAGTCTGACCAAAGGGGCTGAGAGCGTATTAGGGAAAAGGGCAGACTGATCTTGTCAGGCTCTTTTCCAAAGACTCGTCTTGCAGTATGCCGTGCCTTAAGGGCCAAATTAAAGGCAACATCAAATTTGGGATTTACTCTATGGAGGTCAGAGGTGGTCAAGTGTATCCAGAGTAATGGACCATCCTGCCAGAGGGCACCTAGCATGCCTCCTTTTGTCCATAGACTCAAGGCCAAGAGTGGTCTGGAGGAGTCAAAGTGGTGAAGCAAGGCTGAGAGCAAAAGGCGGCTAATCTTATTAACAAGGGC